GATTAATATATTGAGTAGGTACCTGGTGTTTTTTCTTTGTTTCTATGTAAATGTCAAGATGAACTTTGGCTTTTTATTTAATATGTTGTATAGACACTACTTATGTATTTGTTCTGTTTGTGTTTTGCAAACTTATTATTAATTAAAATATTATAGCAAATTTGTAAAATAAAGATAACTACTATTCATGTTGTTTTTTTAATTCACATTTTCAAAAAAAAAACTTTACAAAACTGTGCACTGTAGTACATATTATAAATTGGTCAACATTGCTTTTTGGTGTTCTATTTAAACAAAAAACAAATTTCTTAGTTTTAAAAATTGAGGAATTTACCTAAATGATTAAACTGTAAGTGAATATTCAAGTAATTTTTATTTATTAGAACACAAAATTGTCATAATAAATACATAGGTAGGTATAAATAAAATACTTTAAATTAAAAAATATACTCGTAAAATCAAATCCTGACTCATAAACTTTATAGGTCTTTAAGCTTTTGAATATCTTCACAAAACGATCATTGAATGTAACAGCTACTTCCCCATAAAACATTGAACCTCCCATGTGATGTACTTTGTTAAAGTAACCTCTTTATAACTGACCAAACAAAAATTTAAAATAAAAGCCTTACACACAGTTTTTTAAAACCACAACCAATGTTGAAATGTTTTAAGAGTTTCTACATTCACAAGTTCTAGATGATATACATAGGTATAGGTGTATTATTCTAAACAATCACTATATTCTACTTATCAGAGTCATTACTATACTCTATTTACCAGAACCATATCTTAATGAATTTTTTAAAAAGATGTTTTAGCAGGAAATATAATCTTATGTATTTGATAAAAACCGAAGTACCTACCTACATACTCTTTTTATTAAAACACAACTCACTTAATTCTTGAACATTTATTTATTTCTTAAACCTTTGAATTGAAGGATTTCTTAGAAGTAAGCACGTTTACTTCGATATACACATTACATGTATGTAACAAACAAATGTAACAAAATATTCAATATAAACGTCTAATATTAGGGCCAAATCACAAATAAATGTTTCTCTGTTGATATAAAAACATCACATAATCGCCCATTTATGTTCTATGCTCTCTGGGTATTTGCCCTTTAGTGTATTAACTATAAGTTAACACTAAATAAGCCACATATTCATATTACTCATGGGAGGAATTCCAGTCACTGTGTAATCCAGAGTAAAGAGTACTGTGTGGTAAAGGGGTCCAAGCCACTTATTAACTTTTACTTAAGTTTATACCTACAACAAATGTACCTATCATTGAAATGTAAACAGATCGTATTTTTATATTTTATACTAACCTGCATCTGAATAGTCTATTAACAATTTTCTTAAATATTCAATATCCATTTCAAAAAGATTAAAGTTATTCACAAAAAGTCGATTTTCAAACAAAAATATATAATATATTATTTATATTTCTGATAACCTATAACATCAACAAAGTCAACAGCCATATTTAATTTCAATTTTTAATTAATTGACACTATTGACAGTTTTTGCCCAAGATCACAGAAATTTACTACCGTTGTTTGGGACCAATAAAAGTTGACTCTTAGACATATTTATTCGTGTCTTGACCTCTCATTGGCCGTTCGCTGACTAGGACCAGTCGGACCGATAATAGCTTTGTCCCAACATCTCACAAAACCGTAATATTACGGTCATCGTCATGCGCAGTAAATAAAAACCTATTAATAAAGCCCAAAGTCGAACGGTTTGACCAGGAAAAGTGAGTTTTCTGTACGAAGAATCCTGTTCGAAGCGTCAGTTAAGTTAAGAATACTTTAAGTTTCCAAAAAAAGCAAACTTTATTTATTTAAAAAATATACAAAAATTAATCTTTGATTAATTTGATGAGGCACTCTGGGCATTGAACGGTGGGTTTCTATCACATTTCTATATATATATATATATATTTATATACTTATAATTTAATTGTTTTAGCTTTAAGACTGTGTCATTTGGAATTAATAATTCTGTAATGTACTTAAGACAATAAATAAATAAATGACCCAAAATAAAATAAATTCACCAACAGGTGGCATGGTTGGTCGTTAGCTTGGTACCAGGCGAAGGACGCTTGCGCCAGATGGTATGCAAATATAGTGAAATCTTAATTTCTACCTTTTACAATTATGAAATCAAAAATATAAATAATGTGCATATCTGCACCTAAATCTAATTATTAACATTTAGTGCTGAAACACAGTAACCATTCAACACTCTCCAAATTGGAAGACGTTACCTACTTAACTTTTAGTTAAGTCCAAATTATTAATAAGAAACATATTAAACCATGAAATTTTATAATTAAATGTAAATCATAAAACAAAATAAAAAGGAAATGTAATAAACACAAAAAATATCAATAATACACAAAAGACTTGAGACACATAGGTTATTTACAAAAGAGGTTAATTTACTTAATCTAATCTTTGCCTTTCATAAGTCTTATGAGTCTGCTTAACATACAGTTAAGTCTTGTTTTATTATAAAAAAGAAATCTAAAAATTATATTTATATGAAATATTCATTTAAATTTGTAAAAATCTTAACAATAAGAAAACATTAAGATTCTAATTTCTAAACCACTTCTGTAAATGATTTGTTAACAACTAAGTGCTTAAAATTGAAACAAGCTAGGTAAAAAGTAAACTTTGCCCAGTGAAATACGCTTTTTGTCGTCTGGTTTACGTATGGATAACCAATCTATGTTATTATGCATATCTTTGGGTGTGAGACACTAAGTGTGCTCTGTAGAAATTTATAAAATTTCTTTACTATCGAATCAAATTCAGGTTTCCAAAGTAATGTGTTTGTACATCCACGGATGCAACAAGTTTTTTCGATAATGATATTACGAAAATAATTTGACATTATTTAATTAATGATTACTTAACAACAAATGCCGTATAAGACATTAATTAATTAATCCCCTCATAAAGTTCATATTGTGACAGGCTTCTGGTTCACCTACAGTGAATCAGCGAGTCTGTATGGCGCTATGATGGTGATTCCCGAATAGGGGTTGCTCAGGCGCCAGTTTTGGTATCGCAGTTTGCTCTGCGACCCTGTGGCACACCAGAGTGTACTCAAGGTAAACTCAGTGAAGGTAAAAATAATTGCAGACGGTCACTGCTAGGTAGCCACCACACTAGAATAAATAAAAATAAAACACTTATCTCCTTTACACCTCGTACCCTACGGTACCCTGATATAGAACGGTTAAGAACCAGTAATAAGAGAAACACAGGAATAGGTAATAAAATATATATTTACAAAAAAATTAATACAACTATAATTAAATATGAACGGACCCCTGTATTCGGAAAATCTAATAAAATTAAATTAATATAACTGAAAACTATTTAAATATTGACGGATCCCTATATCCGCAAAATTTACGAAAAATAAATTATTACAATTGGAAATTATTTAAATGTAGGGAAATGTTCATGGCACATTAGCGCAGGAGGCTAAGCGGTCAGGGAATTATGAAACTCCCTGTATTTGAAAATTTATTAAAAATTAATGATTAAAGTTGAGAACTATTTAAATATTGACGGATCCCTATATCCGGAAAATTTATAAAAAATAATTTATTAAAAATTATTTAAATATTGACGGATCCCTATATCCGGAAAATTTATAAAAAATAAATTATTGAAAATTATTTCAATATAGGGAAATGTTTATGGTTTATTAGCACAGGAGGCTAATCGGTCTGGGAATCGTGAAACGCCCAGTATACGGAAAATTTATGGAAAATAAATTAATACACTTGAAAACAATTTAAATATGACGGTAATCAAATGCAAGCAAATAAATAAAATCAAAATTGTCGAAACCCCCTCGTATCTTAATAACAAAGCGATGGGAAGCGAAAATTTTCGTCTAGTGATAAATATGGTTATTTATGCGGTTTTTTGAACGGCGGACACGACGATCGTAGAAAATAATATTTTGAATTTTGCCCAGAGTCGATCGAGAGCATGTGTGTGAATTTAAATTTTACAGAAGTCGTCTGGATTCATTCAATAACTAAATGTGGACGAGGAACGGTATGATTCAAATATGGCTGACAAAAAAATTAAAAGAAAATAAATTTTACACGAATTGAGGCCCGAAAATTAATTTAAACGTCTTTTGGGATATTAGATACGTCATCAGGAGAGAGAGCACTCTAATCCGGGAACGGATCGAACCTCCGAAAAAAGAAAATAAAACAATAAAATATTAAAAAATTGAAAACAGGTCGAATCTCTTACTTCGATGTTAACTGGGCGGTTTTTAAGAGAAATTGGATATAGTCGTTGACAAAGAGAGCACTCGGAGTCTAGCCTATGTCCAGCCTCAAATAAAAATTGCCAACGGTTTCCCACTGAGGGATGAAATAATATATCTTGGATATGAATCAAAATTTTTCACTTGTCGCACATAAAAGCCAATATAAAAATTATTATACGGTGTCTACCTTAGCAGAAAAACGGGGTTAATCAATGAACTTTTTCGAAATCACGGCACTTCACGGAGCATTCACTAGGTACTAACTAAGGGTGAATAGTTTTCGGCTGTCGGCAATCAAGAGAGTAGAGCTTACGTCGGCCGGCAAGCGAAAAGAGGGCGTAATTCCTAGATGTCATTTAATTTATGCTTTTCGGTTAAGCAAGATGGAAGACCAGTAAGCCCGACCATTACAGCTGACTGTTTACAATTTAGAAATATAAAAAATGTCCTTCTTGTACCTTTACAAATAAAAGGTAGATAATCGATACGAAATCGACTTTACAAAATGCCCATTCGGATTTAAGCAAATATAAGAATATTTTAATCTACGAGGGTACTCGCAATTGTTGAAAAACGGAAATTCTTGGGAACATGTCAGCCGGGAATTAATTGAAATATACATTTTTAAATAATTGAGAGCAAAATTTAGTGACTTCGTCACAATATTTTTGTCATTAGTTGGCGTTAAAGTCATGACGCACGGTCTCTATCTGTGGTTTTAAAGTTGACAGGTGTAACCATCCATATTCATGCACATCTCTGCTTCTAGTTAAATTATTATTAGTACCTACATTTTTTAATGTTCGACAATTTTTAATTATTGTAAATAAAATTATACAGGATCTTATTTATTAAAAAAACTGTGTTTTTAGAACGATTATTTATTTACAAATCTAAATCTGATATTTTTTCCAAATCAAGCCATATACCACCTACAGCACCAGCAATGATCGACGTTGACAGCTTTAATGGAAACTGAGTCTTTTTGTTTATAGCTAGCTTGTACTTCAAAATAACTGCACAAATTCCAACTTTTACCTGTAGTTTACCAAATCTTAATCCTGCAACAAAGTATTTTATATTTAAACAAGACATAATTCTAATAAACTATTTACTGTGAAAAACGATGAATTTCCTTGCATTCTAATTCATTTACAATCTAGTTTAGTTAGCTCTTTTTACTTAGAATAAACAAAATTTTACAATTTAATATTTTCTTGGTTTAGAATTTTTGCTACACACTGTATACAATAACACTTTTTACCTATACATGCTCTTGGACCTTCTCCAAAGGGCATATAAGTATAAGGTCGTATTCTACTTTTATTCTCTTGATTGAATCGTTCAGGATCAAATTTGTCTGGATCCGGAAAAAATTCTGGATCTCTGTGAAGACCTCGAAGAGGAATCATTACCTCTGTTCCTGTTTCAATGACGACATTGCTTTCGGGAACTGGATACGGTTTGTTGCAAACCCTTGAAACACCTGACGCTATGGGATATAATCGCATAGTTTCTAAAAATAAAATTGTCATTATTAAAGCTTAACATACGGTAGACTATAGAGGAGAAGCTACAAATGGGCTACCATTTGGTTTAATTGACATATCTAACACATTTTTAGTGTAATTTACGTTTTTTCTTTCTACAAGTGAACTAGAACCTTTTATTAGCATTATGCGGTCCGGTTTTGTTTTTTGCGGAAGCTTTTCTAAAATTTTATTTTGTTCAAATAAAAGTGACATAATAGTAGTCATTTCTAAAGTGATACAAATATGGGCTACTACAGAAAATACCTACAAATATTAACTTAAACGTTTTATTCAAAGGCTAAATTGGAAAAAAACAGGAGCAATTACAAAAGTAACACACTACTAATCAGTGCGACAAAAGTCACAAACATAGTCACCTCTGTCAGCTCCGGCAAAGTCCACATGGCAACATAACCTGCACATTAAACACTGAACCCAGAGTTTACCTTTGCGGTCTTCAGAAAATCTACTTTCGCAGAATATGCATTCCGCATCTAAATCATCTGGTTTCTGTTGTCCAGGCATATAATCTATATCTAAATCGTCATCCACTGGCGTAAACTGTGTTTCGTCGTCTTCACTTTCAGACTTTTCTATCAACTGCTGCTTTTTATTCTTCTTTGATGCTTTGGACATCGAGATCTTTTTGGCTGATTAAGAAAATACTTTTTTTTAACCTGTTTGACATTTTGCTTATTTTTATTGGTAGTGCTCAACAATAATTCATCTTTATGAGGGGAGGAAGTAATTACCGCTGCTTGCAATGCTTTCCTACCCCTATTAGTTGTTTTCTTTTTAGATATCGGAACTGGCAAAATATCAAAGGGTAACAATATTTTTCTTGGCATTCCAGATGGTCCAGGTTGAGCGTTGTCCTGATTGGGTGTCTCTATATTCGATTGAGATGTGCTTGATATGGTCATTCTTTCAGAAGCCAAATCAGACAAAACATTTGTAGTGACACTAAATTCACTTTCAGCGGTGCAGTGTTCTTTTTCTGTTTCTATTTCCACAGCAAGAAAGTCCGCTTTTGAAAAAATATTTTTATTCAACGGAAAATTTCCAGTAGCGTGAAATCCATTTACTGCAATTTCTCCAGTCTGGGTTTTGAGATAGACCTTTCCAAAAAGTTTTCCAATGTCATATTGAGATAAGGGACGATGATTGTGGCGAATCCATTGTCTAATCTCCTCACTGTAGTAAGCCTTTAACGCACCCATGAAAGGTTTGTCAAGAGCCTGTAGTTTATGAATGGAATAAGGAGGTAATGAGATTATTACCACGTGATTTTCTCTAGCCGTATTGACAACTTATAGGTTACGCGTATGACTATAATGCCCATCTAAAATTAGAAGAACAGCCGAAGTTGCAGACGTGTCAATGAAATGTCTGAACCACTGGGCGAATGACGTAGCCTGAACCCATCCACTAGGGTGAACTGCTGATAATAATCCTGGAGGGGTGCCTTTCATTAGTTGAATATTCATATATTTTCTAGGAAATATGAGCATCGGTGGTACAAAGTCTTCCCCGGTACTCATGCAGGCTATCAAAGTGATTAAAGAACTCCGCTCCAATGAAGTTAAAGAGGCAAGTTGTCTTTGTCCCTTACGACCAACTACCTCAGCACAACATTCGGACCGATCTCATCCACATTATACACGCGATTAGCTGGGAATTTGAATTTTTCATACGCTTCCTACAAAACCGTGAAAAAATTGTCAACACTTTCTTTGTTAAACCCTTTGGCGCTAGCAAAAGATGTCCCAGTGGGTTTTTCTAATTGACAAGGTATTTTTATGCCATTGCAAAAATAGATCTAACCAGCCCCTTCCTGCTGCTTGTGTGTCTCCAAAAGGATGTTTTATTTCGTTTCTTTCTGCCAAGCAAAATGCCATACGTTTAACATCTTTGCGGGTTAAGTCAGAAAACTTGGCTTCCATTTCAAGGATGTAGCGAACTAATATTTCTTCCAATTCTGGATTTAAAACTGTACCTCGACCAAGTTTTATTTGAAGAATCTGTTCTACGCTAAGATGGTCCATTTTGGCTAATCACTGCACTGTAGTCCTTAAAACGCCAAAAGTTTTTGCTGCTTTTAGAGTACCCATTCTTTTTTATCTTACTGCTTGAACAGCCCTTTTCATTCATATTCTCTGTATTCCACGTCTTTCTTTTCTTGGCGCTTAAATCGGAAGTTACCATAAGTTTCTTGCATAGCATTCTAAAACAAAACAAACAATGAAATAGAGATTAATACAAATATGGGCTAGCCCATATTGCTAACGCAAGACCAACCCATATTGCAAATAAGCGTAATTAAATTGATAATTTTACGAATATTTTATATATTTAATCTATGTAATTTGAAAAACAAAAACTAAAAATACAAACCTTGCGCTCAAGTCTGATCGTTAAAAATCGACTTTGACATCAAAAACAATTGAGTTATAGCCACAAATAAGCACCACTGCAAAATTTATAAACATTGTAAAATACCAATTTACACTAAACAAAACCACCTCTGCGAAAAGAAGAAACCAGTAATCACTAAGCGGTTACAAATGCTAACGCGCATATAATTGTGATGTCAACCAAGAGATAGCTATCGTTGTACTGGAAATATTATCGTAGCCCATAATCCAAGCCTAGCTCATAATTATACCCTTTCCTCTAAGGTTAACTAACTCTTATTTAAAAACAAAAGGAAAAATATCCCTCACATAAGGATAGTTCTAAACAATCCATTGGAGGTCTTTAGTTATTGATATATCCGTTTGACCATAAAATAGATCTATTTTAATTTATTGCAAATATATTGTAATTATAATTATAACCAGTATTAGAAAGTTGAATAAAGACATTTTAAAATGGTCAGATTGATTTATTTAATTTAATAGGTTGAAAGATAATTTTGTTGTAATACCAATACTACCTGGTCCTTCGAGCCGGATATATTTAACTATAACTATCTAATAGGAATAATTTGAAATTTTGAGGGAAAAATTATATTTTCTGCAGATATTAAAGAAATGTAGAGATTAGGTGATAAGACAGAAGTGGATAGATGACACATACATGATACTAGTAATGATATTTGATGTTGTATATTTTCCTTTTTGTACACATTACGTGAGGAATATCAATTCTTTGTAATTTAAAAACTAATTCTATGACACGTGAAAAGAATAATCAATAGACATTATATGGACGACTATTTGGAGAGCCTATCTAGTACCGAGGAGGTAGAAGAGCTTATAAATAATTTCATTCACATTCGTAAAGAAGGATTGAGTTGTAATTCCAAAGAAGTGTTTATGAGAATTCCAGATAACCTTGGTTAGTTAAATATACAGGGTGTCCCGAAATTAGATTGTCATATTTTAACAGCGTAATCTACATCCTAAAATAGGAGTTAACGTTCATATAAACATAGGTCCGAAAACGTTTCGTTTTCGAGATACAGGGTATTACAAGTGATGGCACATTTTTGTAAATATTTTCTAAAATTTCTTTAGTCACCGGTTTTCCAAAGTTAAAAAAAATAAAATTTCTAATTATACAGGCCTACTAATTATTGTTTACACTTTCGAATAAGATAATATCAGTTTATCAATAAATTTGCAAATGCTTTTCTCTTGAAAATGGTACGTCCTAGCGAGATGCAACAAAAGCAGCTTTATTATACAGAAAACATTGGTTTTTCAAATTTTATGGTCAAAAATAATAAAAAAATTTAACAAAAAAAAAACTTAGAGGAATTTTACCTTAAGCCCTTCCTAGTTTACCCATCTATGAAGATGATCAAAAACTGGGGTTTAGTTCATTAAATAGAGCATAAAAAGGTAAGCATTTGTACTAAATTTCACTTAGTTATCTTTAAACGTTTAGAAAATACTTTATCCCATAGGAAGGGCCTCAGTAATTTTAGAAGAAAAAACTTTTCAAAGAATTTTAAGTTTCCACTAGAAGAGTGCTTAATTTTACTAAAAAAGATAAAGATATTTTGAACGGACAGAAAATTTCTGCAAAACATGAGATATTGAGGGTCATAATGTCATTGTTTGAACATATAGGGCTAGAATTTTAGGTTTACAATGGATTCCACTAGAAGAGTGCTTAATTTTACTAAAAGATATTTTGAATGGAAAAAGAATTCCTACAAAACATGAGATATTTAGAGTGATAATGTCATTGTTTGAACATATAGGGATCTAGAGAAATGGACTGAAATGGAATGATAAAATCACCACAGACTAGAATCAAAAATGGAAAAAATGGATACTAACTTTTGCTACAAATTAAAATACTTAAAATTACTAGTTTGAAAGAAGACAATATCGTTTAACAGTACATATTTTGCGATGCTAGTAAAAAAGCCTTTTTAACAGTAGACTATTTGCATTTCGAGAAAAATAATGAATCTAAAGTATCTTTTGTTAAGTCTAGATCACAAGTAGCACCATTAAAATCAATTACAATAACTCGTTCAGAATTACAAGCTATAGTTTTAGGTTCACGCCTTGCAAATACCATAGTAAAAGAACATTCAATAGCAATTTCAATAATATACCTTTGGACTGATTCTAGAATGCTTTGCGTTATATAAAATCTGATGCAAAGAAGTTTTAATCGTTCGTATCTTATAGCATAGGAAAAATTAAAAAAAAAAACTCTAGTCAAAAACTGGAATTTTATTCCAACAAATTTGAATATTGCAAATGAAGCAACGGGAGACAGAAGGTACAGCGATTTAAGGATTAAAAGTATATGATTTAAAGATCCTGAATTTTAATGCCATGAAACAGAATCCTGGCCAAATCAAAATTTAGATATATATACTCTGAAGATAATAATGATACTCTAAAAATAAAACAAAAATATGTTTTATTGTTTTAAAAAAAAATATAGAATACCTTCCAGATCATACAGATTTTCATGTTATATGAAAATATGAAGAACATATCGTATGTGTGCTGAAATT